CATGCAAGAGCGCTTCACTGCTCAACAACAGCAACAGGCTGAGAGAGCTGCTAGCTCACCATCGCCTCGTGCATCGCCGGAACAGATGACGCCAACGACTGTGCCTTCACATGCTCAATCAAAGGGCGGCGGTTTCAGAGAACTTCTACCCCGGCACTCTTCACAGCCTGATCCGGAATCACAGGTTACACAGTCTAGTCACGATCTGCAGCCCATGGTCCATCGCGATGCAACTCCTGTACAGCCCACGCCGATACGTCCTGGACAATCTCCACCACCCGCAGCGTACCCTCTCCCCATGTCGCCTGACCCGACGCTAATAGGTAGTCCTGTGAATCCCACCGCAAGCGGTTTACCGCCACCTCCACCCCCGAAGGTCGCCCACAGCCCTGTGCGGCCTGGATTTGGCAGTACGCAACCATTTTCATTCGAGAATCAACGACAACAGTTCCATCATCCCTCGTCTCGAGATGATGGATATGGTTCGTCACAAAGGGTCGTGCCACAGTATGACGAGCAGGTACCAGATGAAGCTCCACCGTCGTACGATGGTCTCGGTGTACCCAACGACGGAATGAACAAGAGTCGTCCAGAAGCACTTCGACCACCTAACATCACGACGAATCTGGAGTATGAATCACGCGGCCGACAACCAGGATCTCGACCACGTCAACCATCGATTGGTATCCTGCAGCACCCACAACCAGCCTCGATGGCTGCATCGCCCCAACGCACGTCACCGGACATGGGTGCCGAGTCTCTGCGTCGCCAGCTTCTGCAGCAAGAAAATCTCGCACACATGGAACGCGTTCAACGCGAACAAGAGCAGCGCGAAAGACATGAACGTGAGAGGCTAGAGCGCGAGGCTGCAAGGGCAAGAGCCAGAGAGCTTGAACGGAGTGCATCTGGTGGCGGACAGGTCCCCAGCCTAAGGAGCGTTGGTGGTAGTACTACTGGGGGACCTTCAGGCTGGGAGAGACGCGGAAGTTATAGCAGACCGGTGTTTGAGTTGCCTGCTGTTGAGGATGACGAACCCACTATGAAGGCGACTAGCTACCCTGGACAGGAGTGGGTACCGCCTATGTGGGATGGTGACTGAGCCCTACGCCCTAATTCGCCCTTTTTCTTTTCTCCACAATCGTCTCAGTCGAGTTTCCACTATCTATCATGATCCCTATTCATAATTCCTTGGAAGTGATAGGGTCTCGTTTTTCCTTTTCGCGTATACCACCACATCATCGCATCTAGGTCTATCTACGCGTTTTGAGCAAATTTGGATACCCCAATCGTTTCTTTCTGTACACATCGGACAGTTTCGGTCTTATTTTTCCTATGATTGTACGGTTCCTGTGTTTAGATGTTTAATCGTGGCCGAACTCATAGGCTGATTTGAAGTTGGGCACAACGGTGTCAGTCTCGTATATATGTCCCCGTATTTAGTAATGTAATTTGCTATACCATAAGCAAGATTTACTCAGCAATACGGTACCGATTCTTTTCCATTGGCTGGGAGCTATTTGGGTGTCAAACTGAGGTGCGCAATCTCTGAGTCTTACCGATACACGTGGTACCATGGATCGTGGTGGGCTCCCGCCTAGAAAGCTGAGATATCAGCGAGGACTGCGTCAGATTCTGCACGGGTATCTTCCTACGCTAGCGAATGTGTGAAAGTTGTGATAAATTATCCCGTCTGGTTCCTCAAGTTCCCATGGTTCCCATGCTATGGATGGGTCTAGTGTGGTGAAAGTAAGCAGTGAACAAGCACTGTGAGTTCATCAAATCTTGCGTTCGTGCACGAATAGTGCTGTACGCAATCATTTACAGGAGGTATTTGGTGACTAGAGCTTCTATCCACTCTTCTGCACCCTTATACTTATTCTTGTCCTTGCATACGTTGCTCATCTAGCATCAAAGTCATTTACAAAGTGCTACCAATTTTCGTACAACCGAACTACAACGAGACAAAAAGTGGAAACTTCCTAAAAGAGGACACTCGAATTTGGCATCAACTACAGTACTACAATGTTTCGCAAAGCCACAAAAGTCGCTGCACGTCAGCACATTACTCGGTGCGCGCGCCGTACACTTCGCTCAAACCTCTTCAACAAGGAAACAGTCTTTGACAAGGAACTCGAAGAAGAATTTGGCTGGATGACAACTTACTCGCCCTTCGACCCTTGTTCGTACCGTCCGATTCCCCTCCCAGTGCAAAATAGCATGGTCATACAGATGCCCACAGCATTACTGGGGTTCAAGACGTCGGAGACAGAAAACGGCGTGGAGGCTGTGAAAGAGACGAAGAAGGGAGAAGCGATTTTCAAACCATGGCCGTATTCCCTTCCTTCGTTTCTCCAACCCAAGGATGGCACAACGTTTTCGCTTGTTAACGGCAGTTCGACCACTCATACCAAGCACACAGGCGTCCTCCAGGCTATTTTGTACGGTGTCCCAGATCCAGAGCGCTTCTCTTACAAGCGAGAATTGGTGGCTCCAGGTAGCCTTCTGCATAAGATCCTGTATGGAATCAAGGAGATGGATGATGGAGAGGGTATTGTTCCTGTTTCTAGTGTCACAGTTGCCAGGATTGAGGATGAGGCTATGGGTGAAGACAAGGCAGGAAAGGAAACGAAGATCATAGTGGTGAAGAACGTGGGTGTCAAAGTCGAGGTGGAGCATGTAATGGAGAAGAACAGTGATATGAGACATGGCATGATAGCCAAGTAGTCCTTAGCCGACGCTTTTAGTCCCTTCTAGAAGACGAAATGTGAACTTCTGAGTCCGACATTTCGAAAATTCAGACTACATTTGGGGAATTCTGTAATATGCTTGATATACCATTGCAAACAGGAAATGGCTGGTTGGTCAAGTAATCCGGAATTTGGTTCGTCCGCATTCGACGCATGAGAAACATGGTTAGCCGACTACGTATCCCGGAAACTGCGAACATTAGTAAAGGTCATTTTTTCATATGATGTACACTTAGGATTCTAAGCTCTTTTTCATTCTCTATAGTAGCATATTATGGGAGATGTAACCGAGCTCCTGGCTTCTCTTGTAGACGATCCGGATCCAATACGTCAAGCTGGAGTCGGTCTACATGCAACCTCCTCTCCATCGTCCTTCACAGCAATCAACACGAACACTATTGCCAACACCGCTATCGAGAGAAATACGTCAGAGCCTCGCAGGTCGAACAAAAAGCCAAAGACAGCATTCGATCTCAACAAAGAACACAATGGACCAGATACGGCTCTCAATCCTGAGCCTCTTCACCAGATTGATGCCATGACTACAATATCCTCTTCAGGGACGAGATCTGCTACCGTTATTTCGTCTTTTACTTCAAATGTCGCCCCCAAGCGTAAACCCAAAACCGGCAGAAACAGCAAAGGAAAGGCCGCCAAAGAAGATCTTTCCTTATCACGCAAGTCCTTAGAAAGCACAGCCTTTGGGACCGGATCAGCAGCTGCGGCGGAAGAAAAGACAACAATCGAGATACGTAAACCAGCGAAGGGAGCAGAATGGCAGTTATTTCAGCACGGACTGGGTTGGCATGAGGGACGCGATCCTTATGGTCTAGCTAGTCAGCCGTATCTTTGGCGGGAGGAACTAGTACCTTGGTGGGTGTGCAGAATGTGCAAAGAAGAGGATGAGGGAACGAGGGAAGGTGGTGCATGGCTGTCACAAGGCTGACTATAAGGTTGTAAACGTGGGTGGTGTAGACGGTTGAAGGCTTGAATATGCTTGATAGGAACTGCAGCAGCAATACTCGCCTTACACTGAGAAGAACATAATCGGTGTGTTCTTCTCAGTGTAAGGCGAGTATTGCTGCTGCAGTTCCTTTTGCGCATACGCAAGACTAAGCTGAACATAAATAATGTATTTTTCTGAATACAGGACGAGTATTACTGTTGTGAATATCAGTATAAGGCATGTTTGGGAGATCCTACACCCCGCCGGTTATCCGGCACTATACCTCGACGGTTACTGTGCCTCAAGAGCTGTGCCTAATAACGTAGACTTAGCATCATTATACTACCCTAAGCGTTTCGACTGACCAACAATCATCTCACTTACACGCACGCGAGGGAAGCTTTCTTGCACTTGTTCACGTAATTGGCATTTAAGTCACAGAACCTACCTAAATGAACTACCCTGCCCTATGGCGCGAGAGAAACTTGGCAAAAATGCAACAAAAGTCGCCGAATCTGGTGAGGTTCACACGCGCTATTTCATGAGGTACGGACAAGAAGCTTCGCTGACTCCTTGTAGGGTCTGAATCTGGATCCAGATCTACGTAGGCTTCGTCCTTATACTTTCTTCGTAGCCATTCCTACCACGTCCAACTCCTCGACTATTATCAGTTGCTGGAAGCCGTCATCATCTACCTCACGCTCTCACATACAGCTTCATACGCCGCTTAAGCTCGCTCAAATCCAGCTTGTCGATTCATGTGAGGATTTCGGCGTTGTGTGCATTCCAGCTCACGAACTTGGCCTCGCAGACTTCTTCCAGCACCAGATTGAATCTCTAGAGATATCGTCTCAAGATGCAGAGATGACATCGAAACTTGTCGCCAGTTTGCGGGGCTCAAGAGCCGGCAACGCTGGTGAAGATGGAGTGGAAGTGAACATTCTTAGCATTACGATCCTCGGAGATGAAAGCGGGGACCTAGTTCCTGAAGGGTGCAAGTTGCTCTGGAGGTGGGTGAAACCTCACAGTCAGTATCGTAAATCAGGCTTTTGGGACTGCAGCTTGACAAAGGTCTTAGTGGATGCCGAGTGGAATGCAGGCAAAGGCGTCTCTATATTAGTAAAGAGTGGGGAAGAGGAAGAATACGACAGGGTGTTGCAAGGCGAAAAGAAGACTGAATCTCCCTTTCAAACATAACGCAGGTATCGCAGTTAGAGATGCTGACAGATTTGGATTGTAAAGTAGAGCTCCTCCTGCGAGCTGAATTAACGTATGACGGCATGCGAGTCGCGATTTTTGACAGCCTGCTATAAAGCTCTCTTCCCTACCACAACATTTCCATGCGGTCTCCTCTGTTTAGTGTCATAGATAATGATACCTAAGATTACAGAATTGACAAGGAAGAAGATTATGCTAGATACCCAGAGTCCTGGAACAAAGGTCGAATAGCCGTTGAACTCGAGCTGAAAGCCTTGTTGTAGCCAGGCAACTTGGCCCACGATCCAGAAGACGAGCGCAGGAATGCCGATAGACGAAGATTGGAGAAGGGTCGAGTCCGGAAGATAGTATGGGAGGAACATCATGTACCAGAGGAAGTACTAGAAGAGATTAACGTCGACGCAGGGCTGATGAAACGATACAGTACTTACCTGGCTTGTGCAGACCTTGTTGAAGGTAACGAATGCAAAGGTCTGCGCTAACATTGTATTTGGGAGGTCTTTTTTTGCTAGCACCAAAGGCGTGAATACAGCGCTGAGGAGCAGCTGTGGAAGGAACGCCAGACGTTCCAATCCGAAGGACTGTGTTGCAGGTCCCACATTGGTAGGCTTTGGCGAGGACTTCAGATAGAGAAGCGCGTTATAAGGCGAAAAGTTATGGCGGTGATCGCTACGCGTCACATGGTAGAGATAGCTGTGTTCAAGGAACGGCCACCCATACATGCTGTACATGAGAAGGTTCAGACTCGCAAATGTAAGGAGGCTGTAGAGCGCAAGGTATATTCTCGCAGGGTTGAGAAAGTTGCGCACCCGGCCGAAAAGCGACGGCGCCGATTGCGCCTGAGCAGCTCCTTCCGCCTCTATCTGAGTATCATCGAGAAACCAGACGATAGAAGCTGCGTAAATGAATGGATAAATTTTGAAATGTACTGCAAATCCGAGCAAGAACCCAGCGAGCGATCTCTGCTTTGCCAGCACCGCCCATAACAGCGCAGTGACGAAGACCCCTAGCAGCCCCTCGGAGCTACCTCTTGTACTGATAGTCGCAACCATTGGATTGAGCAACCAGATGCTTGCAAACTTCAAGGCTCTTTCATCGCTCATCTTCTTGTACTCTTTCAAGATGTGGAACATCATCCATCCCGTAGCCACATCGCCAATCGCAAACAGGATCTTTCCAAAGGAGAACCAGAACTGTCCAGACCATACAGTAGGATATATGAGCCATGCAAGCAGAGGCGTATAACGATACGTGTCTCGTGCGTAAGGGGACTGGCCGCGCGAGATGTAGCGAGCAGCATCAGTGAAGACATAGTAATCGATGTCGGTATATTTCATAGGCGAATTGGCGTCCTGCCAGAGTCCGTATATCAGGAAAACGGCTCTTAGCACAACAGATGTTGTGAATACCAATGGTGGACTGCGGAAAAAGGAGGATAGAGCCATGCTTTCATTAGAGTAGTAGACACCCAGCACACTCAGAATACATGCGGAAACTGAGTGTATGAGATAGAAAGGGTCGCGAACGGATATGCTGAACGGTAAATCTGATGTTATTCGGGGCAATAGGGAGGGTCGGCTTCCTTAGAGAAAGGGCAGCCGAAAGTGGCTAATCCGTAAATGAAATAGCGCCCACGTGAGGACGTGCACTAGCGGACAATCCCAGCGCCTGGCTGACATTATGTATATACTCACTATCAACGCAGATCCATGGGCTTCAAACGATCAAGAGACGCAGAGATGGCGGACGAGAAGCCAGACCAAGCTTCGTCACCTTTCGTGGCGATGTTCGAAGGCTTCCGTGCAGAGCTAGACGAGCACCATGATCGACGAGAGAGAATCATCAAGGCGTCGCGTGACATCACCGCATCGAGCAAGAAGATGTATAGAACAATGATCGAAAGCTCTCTAGCAGAATACTAACAATACGGCAGTATCTTCACTCTCCAGAGGTAGGTCTTCGTAATGACCTCACCAAATAGATACTGACCTGACAAGGGTTCGCGCCGTCGGCCAAGCAGTACCACCGTGGGTTATCAAGAAGAACGCAGAATACTGGGAGACGATTGAAGACCGATACAAGAACATTGCTGCAGATCTCCAAGGTCTCAATGCCTACCGCTACTCACACAACATCACGGGCGGCAACCAAGAGTTCATGGAAGCGCTCAGCTTTCAGCACTACCTGGAAACGCAATCACTCATTTCGTACGATGAAGCGAAGTCACGCATTGCTGCCATGAGTGGTGAAGCTGGACCAATCGCGTTCACGCCAGAAGACTACATTCTCGGTGTTTGCGACATGACTGGCGAGCTCATGCGCTTCTCCGTTACAAGCATGGCTACTAATGGCAAGCTACCATCTGGCCAACAAACAGAATCAAACAAAAGGCTCAAGCAAGACAACAGTCAGGATGACGCTGGCGACAAGATGGACATCGATGAGCAAGCACCAGCTGCAAGTGAGGCACAGAAGCCACGGACTGTCTTAGACGACCTGAGGGCGATTCGACTGCAACTCGAGATGTTTGACGCACCAGGAGGATCCAAGTTTGCAGCAGAATTAGAGACAAAGAAGATGCCTGTGATGCGCGAGTGCGTAGACAAGGTAGAGAAAGGTCTATACGGTTTGACTGTGCGTGGCAACGAGCGCCCCAAGGGCTGGATGCCAGATATGAGCAGTGCCAGAGAGGTTGAGAGCTACTGAGCACCGGAGGATATCGTCTTTCCAATGAAATGAAATGCAAGACTGGTTTGCCTGTTCAGATGGTGTGGCTGGGGGAGTGGCGCACCCCACTTGGCGTGAGCACCTCATCATCGTGCGGTGATGCGGGCCCGAACTTCACTTGCCCACCCTTGACAGTCACACCAACGACCATGGTCTTCTGCGCCATGCCCAAGACTGACTCACATGCACTCGCTTTCGCGCCGCCACCTACGAGCGCAAACATAATGCGCTCGCCTTGAAACACTGCGCCGACAGCTGTAAATTGACCTGGCGCCCAACCACAAACCCGCACTTGGGCCTGCTCAAGCCGGAACCTTGGTTCACAAAACCAACCTGTCTGCCCTCAACCGCGCACACCATAACCGATCGCTGCCACAACCCTCACTACCATCGCCTACAAGGCAAATCAAAAATAAGCATGCGTCGCAGCACCATTCCGCCGCGGTCTGGCAAGCCCGAGGCCGCCGCCATGCGCGCACCCGAGCCACCAAAGCGCAAGGTATTCAACTGTATCGTCGATGATACCGCCTTGATCGCAGGTGTCAAGAAGAGCACCCGCGACGGCATCCGCAAGTGGATCGCCCAGGACGCCATACGCCTTTATGTACCGCTGCACAGTAGGCTATAGTATCGCAGCTTCCCAGCCTCCTCACTAACACGATGACAAGCCCTCACCCAGCTCCATCGCCTCACAAATGGCACCGAGCGCGTCAACGCCGATGCCCGCGAAGCCGTCAAATGGCTCGACGAAGTCACGTCCAACGAAGCCGCTAGCCGCGTTATCCTCGAGGGCGTGGATGAAGCGTATACTACATGGGCAGAGGTGGAGCACTTCCTGCTACCCGAGACATTGCTCTCGATGGAGGACAGCGAGTCCGACGAGGACGACTACCACGAAGACCTAGAGAGTTCTTTCAACGCCCTCGACATGTCTGACGGCACTTCCATCAGCTCCACACACAGCTTCGAGGACGCGTCCAAAACTCCTGAGTCGCCTCGTTCGCGTGCGAGCAAGGCATCTAAACCTGCCCATGGCGCCACACACGCCGACAAGCCAGCCACGCTGCTCAAGACATCACCCGGTCGCGCCGCTCACAGCAGCAGCGACATCGCCCGCAGCGACAAGTCGCCCAAGGGCGCTGTGCCCGTCTATCTCCAGCCCCTCTTCAACCACATCTTGTGGCGCATCAATAAAGAGGGAAACCCCGATGCAGCTCTGGAGTCCTTCATTCTCCTCACTAATGATTCGGCCAAGCAAACCATCGCTCAAAAGTTCGGCATCCGCGCTAAGCGCCTCGAACAGCTCCGCGATGCCGTTGCTCGTGAAGATCGCGAGTATAAGAACCATCTGACCATCTACAAGATAGAAGTCGAAGCGACCGCTGCTAAGAGCACCGCTCCCACTGCACCCAAAGCGGCAGAGCGACCCAAGTCCAGCCCCGCAGTCGAGAGCAAGCCCGATGACAATTCTGATGACGAGGACGAGGTCCTTTTCAAGCGCGCTCCACGAGGCCCCGCCGCTACTACGAACAACCAACGCGTCCTCGACCCCAACGATTTTGCACGTACAAGCCAGCATCAGTCCCCTCGTGGTGGACGTGAAGGTCATATGCCGTCGCCTCGAGGTCGCGGCGCACCATCCTTTCGGGGTCGTGGAAACTTTGCACCGCGTGGCGCATATGTCCCTCCAGGACCAGTCTTCCGAGCTCCGCCAGCTCCTCGTCATGATCCGAATGCGCCTCTAGACCCAGATTCGTTCTCTCGTCCCGCCCCCAAGGTGGGCCCAGTCCGTGGCGGAGGCAGGCGAAAGCTTTGGGAACCGAACTAGCCAATTGAACGATGAGCGTCAACACCGACGTAGTAGACGAAATTTCTAAAACCATCATTGTTCGAACCGAACGCCGAACGCGATCAAGGCATGAGCGTCTTCCACAAAACGAGGCTTAAGCGGGACAGACACTGGACTATACAGTGACCATATGACCCTTCAATCTGCATCACATCATGCCAATGTTGGTCAAGAGATGAGCAAAAGCCCTAGCAGCTGGTTCGCCGGAGCGTCATGTCCTTCATCTTTCTAAAGTGGTCAGCCCAAAAGCTGTCGTTACGTCTGGCGATCGAGCCGGGTACGACCACACTCTTGAATCACGCCCTTCTATTGGGTGTGTCTTTACGAGCACTATCTCCTATATTGTTTGCGTTCATTTCTGCTTTACGACCAAATTGCACAATCTCCTCGTTCGCTACATGATTACGGTACCTCTGTCGTCCACCTGGAAATGGTATTTCTTTCTGTCTTGAACGAGGCCCAAATTTCACTTTGGCTTATCTCTCACATGCCCATCGACTGGAAGTCCGAAACTTCAGAGTTTGGCTATTGGTCAGCTGTAAGAAGCATATGCGGGCTGTAAGAAGAGAATTCATAGCTATGGACAATAAAATCAATGTTTTGTTTATGACGTTCACCACCAAACTGTTACGAAAACAATCTGTGTCAAACATTCGTTGAACTATATACAGAGAAGCCACTCAGAGTGAAGGTCATGGCCACTCTCACCATGCCATCTTTACCTACTCCCTCACACCTCTCAGCAACAGTTCGAAAGCACTTCCTTTCTTCTTCAACTCTTTGAAACCCCCCCGCTCGACTACCCTGCCCCTATCCATCACGACGATATGCCCAGCGATAGCCATCATCTCTCGCGCGTGCGTGATGATGATGACCGTCATCCGTTTTCTCGGCTCCTTGCCCTTCTCGTCGCCCTTTGCAGCCATCCGTTTTTGATGCTTAGCAACTTTGATATCCCAGTCCTTATCCACACCATCCCAGATTCCACCTGAACGAGCGTGAGGCGATAGTGGTGGAGAGATGGGGGACGACGTCTCATTGTCATCGTTAACAAGACGGAGAATAGTATCGCGGATGATGTTGATGGAAGCTACGTCTAGCGCACTAGTCACTTCATCTAGGATCAAGACATCAGGGTTCCGCCTTAGCGCGCGTGCAATGGAGATGCGTTGAGCTTGGCCACCAGATAGCCCTGTTCCGCCTTCGCCGATGAGTGTATCATAGCCCTGCGACAAGCTATCGATAAATTCGGATATACCGGCTGCACGAGCAGCTGCATGAACACTCTCAATTATCTCCTTGGAGTAGGGAGGGGAGAGACTGTACGCAATATTCTCTGCGATGGTACCAGGGAAGACGACAGGCGTCTGCGACACCAATGCCATCCGGGAACGGAGAGTGATGGTGTGTAGATCTTTGACGTCGTGATTCGAGACGCTCATGCTACCTGCAGGGTCCGATGACGCGGCTGCTTTGCCGTCTGTTTGGTATAGTTTGAGGAGGAGAGAGGCGATCGTTGATTTCCCCGAGCCAGAAGAACCGACAATAGCGGTGCAGCTTCCTTGTGGAATATTGAAGGAAACATCGTGCAGTACCTGAACGTCTTTCCGTATCGGGTATCTGAAGTTGACTTTGTTGAGGGAAATATTGCCTGCAGACTGGATTTGAGTTGTGCCAGCGAGTTCGTGAGATTCTGTTGGAAGCCGTGCGAGGCGTAGTAAGCGTGATCCTGCGTCTCGAGAGATGTTGATCTGCGTGATGTAGTTTGACAAGTAGCTGACGTGATTGACACTGAGCATGAGCACCAAGAAACACTCATTTACTTCAGTGACAGAATACCTGTTCCACGATATGAGCAACCCTCCGTACCAGAAGAGTAATATGGCGACAAAGATGATCCCAGTGTATGCTAGTCCATAGATGGATCCAGAATATATCGCTCGCTTGATGCCGACGTTAACTGCTTCGGTGGTTGCGTTGTTGTATTTCGTTCTGAAGTGATCTTCCAATGCCAAGCATCTGACAGTCCTGATGTTGACGAATGTCTCGTGGAGCACTTGACCAACGTTATCATCAGCCTCGTTCGCTAGTCTTTCCCAACGGCTACTGATCATGTTGTAGCATTGGGTGATTGCAAAGAGTATTGGACCCGTTGCAAGAGCAACGAGCGCCAACTGCCATGCTATAGCCATACTCCAAGTGATCCCGATGATGATCATGAGGGAGATAACGAGGAAGATACAAGCAAATCGCCCTGGAAGATTTCGCGCTTCCTCAGCAAAGTGGTCTAATGTCTCGGTAAGTCGTGATATGCTATTCTCCTCCTTGTCAAAGAATTCTCGTGGTTGCATAAGGATGCGGCGCATGGCTTCCTTCTTCAATGAAAGAGCCCATGTTTGTGCCACTGTATCGGAAAGAAAGAACATGAAGTAGCTTGTAAGTCCGTCGACAGCAGCAATGCCAAGAATAGCTAGAGCATAATTGCGAGCTTGTTGGTCATCGGCGGAAGCATCATAGAATGTACTCAAAAGCTTTGCAAATACCCATGCGAAGGTCGGCGTACATGCAGAGTGGATCGTCGCGCTAAGCATCGCTCCTAAGAAAAGGAGGCGAGAGTCCCAACCTATAGCGGGCCATATAGACGTGAAAATGTCCTTCATAGGCAGAGAGAGGGCCGAAGTATCCTGTTCCTCCTCCCGAATCTTTCGAGAGAGGCCGATCTTGGAAAGAAACTTGCCGTTTTTCAACCGCTTCTTCGGTGGTTCCATTTGAATTGGGACAGGCTCGCGGACTGTAAAGGGCTGTGTATGTGGGTCTATCCGCAAGACTGATCGCGTTGATAGTCTGGATACTGGACGAGAATCAATTTCTTTCGAAAATGACATAGAGCATATTTTTGCATCCGACCTTGGTGGAGCTTCGAAAGCTGGAGAGCCTGGCCTTGAGCCATGATCTTTCGAAAAGAACGTTTCTCCGGTAAAGCGTGACTTGTCTGGGCTCCCGAGCTGCTTCAACTCTATCATATCCCGGGATGGTTCGACACTCTCCAATAGTTCGGGTGTTAAAGTTAGTTCTGACTGTCTGCCTCGATGACCCTCCTTTGTATCAACGGATCGTCTTGAGTACGTGATGAGGTCAGCCTTTTCAGTTCCTGCCCAAGATGCACGGGCTTTCCCGAGAAATGGCACCAGCATCCGCTGTCCAAAGTGAACCGCAGAGAGCGGCCGTTGTATCGAATTGACCTTAGGCATTCGTGGCTCGTCGTACAGCAATGTGATACCATCGGTCTCGTTTCGTGTATAGAGATCGCCATCACTATCCGATTCGCCATCCTCATGGCCTTGATCAGTTTCCTTCCATACATCGAGGAAAGCTTGGAAAGCTCCGACTTGAGACTCCAGCTCTTTTCGATATCCCTCTTGCACTACCCGTGCATTGTCTAGCAGGTATAGAAAATCATCAGGCCGAATTTGAGAGATGTCATGAGTAATGATGATCGTGGTCTTCCCCTTCCTCCAACTTCGTATGGCTTCAAGCATCTCCGCTCTCGAGACGTAGTCGAGAGAACTAACCGATTCGTCCAAGATCAGTACCGGCGAGTTTCGAACCTTAGCTCGAGCTAGAGTCATCCTCTGCTTTTGCCCTCCACTCAGCGAATCGCCCCTCATACCAAGACTGGTATCCAATCCGTCTGGAAGCCCATTTACGAAAGGCTCTAGCCTGGAAAATTTGACCGCGTCGTGAATTTCTTGCATATCAACCGTATCGCGTACGCTCCCGAGCGCAAGATTGTGACGGATAGTGTCGTTGAACAGCGTGCCGTGTTGCTCGACAAGCGTGACGTTTTGCCGTAACCAATGCACGTCCAACTCTCCAAGTGGTACCTTGTCCAGGAATATCTGTCCCAAAGAAGGCTGGTAGAAGCGTACGAGAAGTTGGCCCAGTGTGCTCTTCCCGGAACCGCTTTTGCCGATGAAAAAAGTCGTTTCCCCAGCTGGAATGAACAGCGAGGCATCACGAATAGCAACTTCATCTCTGCGTGTTGGGTATGAGAATGTGACCTGGTCAATCAGCGATTGCATGACACAGACAAGACGAGTGTTACCTTTCGAAACTCAATATCGCCCGGACACTGTGCAGGCCGTGTCCGACCTTGCGACTCAAGTTGCTGATCGATTTCCGACATCTGCTTCGTGAGCAAGCTCAATTTGGCGCCCGCCGTCTTGCCTTTAGACAATACGATCAGTTGGGGCGTTATCTGGGTCATTCCAGACATTGCCATGAGTACTGCCCAGAATGTTGTAAAGACTCCCCCTGGAGTACTGTCTCCAATATCGACCAGGTGGCTGCCGTACCAAAAGCCCTGAACGAAGACGCTGAGTGTAAAGAACTGCATGATGCCGATCTGAATCGAGCGAAAATTGGCCACCCATCTGTACGAGTTCGCTGCGAGAGTGATGATGTTTGAGAAAACATGTAGCTCGTATCGTTCGCCATTGAAGCATTTGACCGTTTCGATGTTTGTCAATGCTGTTGTGATGTACTTGAGTCCAGACTGTAGCTTTTCGGCTTGCTCCTGTACACGCAGTGATAACCGACTTGCGACTAACGATTGGACCAAATATAGTGCTGGTATGGTACACAGAATGACCAAGGTCAAATTCCATGAATAATAGAATGCGACTCCCAGGGATGCTATCCCCTGTACGAGTGATTGTACAGCCTCTCCAAAAGGAGATGACACGGCCAGCTGCAAGTCGCGGATATGCCTGCCCTTCGTTAGCGGCTAGTCATTACGACTTGTACGAGAGTGAGATGATACCTACATCTGCAGTGTCGGCAGAAATGCAGTGATACCAGACTCTCGCGTATCGAACCAAGCCATGTCCTTCTTGAGCAGGGCATCGAAGACCCTATCGCGCGCGCTCCTCGCCTGGAGCTCTCCGAACACAAGAAGGAACATAAAGTATAAACTATTCGCAATCCAATTGAGGGTTCCGATGCCGGTGAGAATTATGCAGAGCTTGGCAATGTTGCTGATAAACTGGTCACTGTCTATCTCCCCTTTGCCATAGCTTGTGTATTGACCGGAAACGAGACCGTAGAGGATCGCGAAAACAGGCATGGTAAGGGCAGCGAGGGACGCCGTGAAGATACCGCCGACAAGTACGAGAACATGTTTGTTTGTGGTGAAGGTAAACAACTTCTTCCAGCCAACCCGTGATATGTAATCCTGCTCTTCATGTGTCTGGGATAGTGTCTCTTCGCGATCAGCCGCAATGTCGAAATTAGAAGTTGTCGTCATATCGGCCGTCCGGGCACCACGACTTCAAAACAAGAACGATCGTGAAATATCAAAATTGATAAGAGTTGAAAGCGATGTAGCGAGAATATGGAGTGAGCGCAGAAGGAACTACCGTATGCGGACTAGGGTGGCGGCCATGTGGTCTTGAGATATTCTCGAACACCCGCTTTCATCGCTTACCTTGTTTGCTCTTAACATTGTTCACAAGCCACCAATCGCAGTCTTCGTAGAAAGCCGCAGAGTTGTGCCGGCTCTTCCGACCATTTCAGAGAAGACAAGATGCTTAGATTCCTGGTAGAGCTTTTGAATAGGTGACAAACTAAAACTGACACACCGAGCGCATGTAACGCTCTTGCTGGCCTTATCTCTGGATATGCGCAATAGGTATAACTTCACTACTCACACAGATTACACGTTGATCACAACGTTGGTGGTCAGATGAGAACACCGCCTCACTGTTGAGTGTGTTGCTTACAGGATGGCTGTTCACAGATCGGTATAGTTGGACGGCTAACAAAGAGGGTCGGCTCGAATGCGCGGACAAGTTACGGCCCGGATGTCGACAATGCAGCTAAGTATTGGCAACCCTTTCTAGGATAATGCGGCTTCGGATTTAGTTCTCTCAGGATCAATCTGGGGCGATCTAGTTGCCCTGCGCCTTCTCGTATATCCAGTCATTCAGGCCTTCCCGATTGCTGCCAAAGTCAGTATGGAGCGCGCCGAGCCATCCAGTGTGCCGCTTACCGTGCGATTTCAATAGCGTAGAACTGCATGCGCACCGCAAAAATTGTGCCTTCTTGGCTGTACTCCATCTTGGGGCTCGCGCGGAGCATTGTGCCGAAGTTGTAGTCCTCCACCTTCTTCTCGTACTCACTGATGAACTTGCGCCATCGCTCCTTGCCGTCCTTGCTCTTCATCTCGTCCTCGTTCAGTGTGGCGGACGCGTCGAATTCGGGAAAGTCCTTCTTGAGGTGTTCGTAGATTTCGTCATCGATCTTTGTGAGTCGCAGCTTGGAACCGGGTACTTTCTCGAGGATCTTCCAGTATGTTTCCATATGCTGCACAACTAAGGGGGAACGTCAGACTAGTCGCGAGTGTCGTATCATGCGCACCATACCTTTGACAGCAAACTGCTTCTCGATCTACGCACGCTGTTAGCGATCACTGTCCACCTCCATGCGTTGCGGCGCACGTACATCCTCGAAGTTCTCGGTCTCCTCCGGGTTGATGCTTGTGCCTAGGGGGCCAGCGAGAGACATGTTTGCGGTGTGTTCGGGAATTTGTAGTCGAGTAGATGATCGGACTGAGGGTGTCGATAGTCGAGTGAGGTGATGGGTGAGTAAGGCAGGTGGTTAATGTGATAGTCTGCGCGCGAGACTGTCAAAAAATCGCGGGAACACTCCGTCATTGCCCCGCCACACATTTCACCTGCAGCGGCGCGCGGGGCTGACTCAACCCCAATTTTTCCCATCATGAACAACACTCTCGCATGTGATGCTTCCTCGCCAATGTTTCCAACCCTACACGTGAGTTTGCATTGCGTATAGGGGGACATGAGCTGATTACCCTAGCATGAGTGCACTCGCGTACCCGTGACGGCACTGGCTTCTTGCGGCGCTCTGCTCATCGTCGCCGAAGGCCCCTTTCTACGCTTCCACCATGCCAAGGACTCGCGGTACATATCCTCAAAACGCGTCTTCAAAGCCCAAGCCGTTCATGGAATACGTGTGTTTTCAGAAGAAAATGCCTATATCATTAAGCTAGTCATCTGGGGTGGAAGACTTGTCCGCGCTCTTGAAATCCATCTCGCAGGCCAAGTTGACGTACAAGGCTTGAGCTTGTGCTTTTCTAATATCGCAAAAGCTTCAGACTGGATTCTTGATCTTGCTCCTAGACCAAAAAGCTTGGATGACGATTCCCAATATCACAAAGCAGCCTGCATTGCTGTCACTGCTCACAACGCACTAGTGCAGGTTGAAATTGAACAAAGGAAGTCAGACACAACCCAGAATACCAAGTGCGCACACCAAAATTTGATCAGTCCTGTCGAAATTTCTTTACTGACACTCTGATCTCAGTGGTCTTGATGTCTCTGTGTTCGACCTTACCTCTAGTTCCCGATCCATCCTCTACTCGGCCCACCTTTTCTGGGAAGATCTGGACCGCGTCCTCGTGGCCGCTGGCACAGCATTTGGCGAGATAATATACTGGTCATGGTGCGATAGGATCCGCGATGCTCCGGCTTCACGCATCCACCGCGTCTTTCTGGGTCATGAGGGCTCGATCTTTGGTGTTCAAATTTCAAAAGAGCTGCCTACTGAATGCTGCCAAAAACTGAGGCGGGTAGTAGCAAGTTGCAGCGACGACCGCACCATCCGGATATGGGATGTTTCAGATGTGATTACGAGTGCGACTACTTCGGAGGCTGATGACAATGACCTGGAAGTTCTAAGGACGCGTCATACCGGCTTCACTAACGAGGCTTTCGACTCAGACGAGTTCAATAGTTCAAGCTGTCTCGCGATTGGATGGGGACATCTCTCGCGCGTTTGGTCAGTTCGGTTTCTCGAAGCATCCCCATGCAATGGGTCGTTGCTGCTCCAATCTGCCGGTGAAGATGCCACCGCACGAACGTGGGAACTCACGCCCAACCCTGGAAACAGCGCAAACTTTCCCTATAAGTTATTGGAACTTGATTGCGCAGCGCATCATAGCGGAAAGAATCTGTGGTCTTCAGTTGTCTCTGATGTCTCGACTGGAGTCCAGCAGGTTATTGCAGGTGGTTCTGACAGTAAAGTCACAGCTACCCCACTCACTCGCGTCTTGCAAGCAGAGAAGAACCTGCGCGGTACGATCGCTGAGTATACTGTAAATGACATACTGTCATGGGCGCAAGCGGCCGAAACAGGTCTTGACAAAACTGGACTGGTGCAGCCCCCAAAATCTTCAAAGAAAGCAGAGTTCTTTAGAAGCTACTGCTTTGTGGACGAGACCTCGTTCTTGCTTACGACAAATTCTGGGAACGTACTAATCGGTACATTATCATCCACCAAGGTTCATAACCAATCAAGTCTCCTTTCGGATTCGACTCTACTTGATCGACTAGAAGACCTTTCTGGTTACTCCGTTTGTACGAGTGGGTCTCGTCCTGGTTTCGCTTACGTTGCTGGTGGCAGCGGCAATATCTATGTTTATAGCAAGATTTCGGCTACCTTCACAAGCCTCTATGCCGTTGGTAGTAAGGTCGGAGACATATTCGCTGCCGAGCTAGCAGATTCTGATGGCCCAGGTTCGACGGTTCTTCTTGTAACTCTCGTTGGTCAAGGTGAAGCGCGACTATTATATGTGGATCCTAATTGCAGCACAAATATTCAGAGAGTCGTACCGATACCCGTAGCGGACTCCTCGACGGGTTCTGTCATCACCAGCATGACATATGCGAGAGCATCCGGTAGGGATTTTGTTATGGTCGGGTTCCGACGTGGATCGATTGCGCTGTTTAACGTCCACAACGATGAGGAGGGTAAGCATGAAGCTACTTTGCTAAGAGTCATCGACAAAGCACATGGAGGAGAAGCGGTTACCTCGCTCACATGGCAACCCTCATCTGAAGCTACTGGGCTTGGCCATCTGTTCTCAGTAGGAAAGGATGGACGTCTTTGCGTGCACCAACTTGATTCATCTGCGAATATAGTCGAATTGGTACATGACCTTGCGCTCCCGTTCGGGCCCAACATCGAAGGATTATACGTCCAGGATGGGCGACTCTTCATACACGGTTTCTCAAGCAAGAAATGGTACCTCTACGATGTCACTAACGAAGAGGAGGTCATGAGCATCGACACCGGAGGAGCACATAGGAGTTGGACCTTCCGGTCGCATTCGTCTGTAGGAGGCACTCTCGTGTGGACACGAGCTTCTAGTATGCACATCTGCAGTCAGAACGGAGCAAATCATGCTGTCATTCGATCAGGGGGTCACGGGCGTGAGATCAAGGCGGTAGCGGTTTCGCCACAAGGTGGAAGCCGATCTCGTCAACTTATCGCTACTGGTGCCGAGGACACCGATATCAAGATCTTCCAGTATGCTGAGAAAGATTTCGCTTGCCGAAGGACTATTCGCAAACACACCACAGGCATTCAGCATCTGCAATGGTCGCATGATGGCGAGTATTTGTTCAGCAGTGGTGGCTGTGAAGAATGTAAGGCCTCTGCCTAGTCGTGCAAGTGTGTTGCTGATTTTCCTTGCAGTCTACGTATGGCGGGTTCGTGACTTATCGACATCTGCTCTCGATATCGGAGTAGTGTGCGAACATGTATTCGTGCCAGAAAGTGAGCATGCGGACTTGAGGCTTATGTCTTTCGATGTAATCACGTTGGGATCTGCACATACTATTGCAATGGCATTCTCAGACTCTAGCATCAAGGTGAGCTAGTTCCTTACTCATGCTATGACAAAGCACTGACACACATCAGGTTTACCGTTTTGACCCTACTGTTACTGTGAAGTGGCAGCCTCTTGCGAAAGGCCTGTACTTCACATCCTGCCTGACGCAATGTATGTTCCTATCTATAACGAAGGTCTTGACAGCTGGTACAGATGGTCATGCTGTGATATGGCCGCTGGCAACCGAGACAGAACGATTGTCAGGCGATTCTTCTGATCCGACCCTTCAGCTGGCATGGCATCATCCGGCAAGGATACACCAGAACTCTTCGAAGGCCATGACATGCCATCCCGTCGATGCAGATACTTGGCTCATCGTGTCTGGTGGAGATGATGGCAGCCTGGCGTGTATACTTGCACGATCTACATCCTCACACTCGCCGACTTCACCTGCGACCTCTTACGTTTCGCCACCAATACTCGCCAGCCGTGCACATGGCTCTGCAGTGACATCATGCAGCCTCTTTAAGCACAAATCACGCATCCTCCTTGTCACATCAGGAAATGATGAATGGGTCCGACTGTGGGAGATTGTCCTTCGGAAAGATGATGGTGAAGTCGGACATGAGATTTCAGCAGAGCTAGGAGATGCATTGGTGATCCAGAGGCTGGGGAAGGTCAAGACGAATGTTGCAGATGTGTCCAGCATGGCGGTGCTCGATAAAGGAGATGATGTTACAGACGCGAGAGTGCTGATATGTGGAGTTGGCATGGAAGTCATACGCATAGCCACGTGAAACGATCAACGAGAGAAGCCGAACACATAGATTGCATTTAGATTAACCGTGGTTATCCTCCACAATCGAGCGTTATCTAAGATCGTCCCTAGATTGCCCTGCCGCTGCGAAAAGGCTATTGGTCGCTAAGCGACTGTTGTCGGGACAACGCATGTCCAGATGTGGTTAGTGTGTGTTCGCGCTTTGACAACACAACACGGCAAGCACGTTCACAACCTCGACTGAACCTGTCTCACACCAGATCGACAACGACACACCACGAAGACAGCGAACCTCGACAAAAATCATGGTCGCTACACGTCGCGGTGCGAAGAAAGCCCCAGAGGCCGCCTCTGCGCCCTCAAACACACTCAACGCCCCTCCCAAACGCGGCGGCAGGAAGAAGGCAGTCGATGAGATCGACGAACTCGCGCCTTCCCCGATCAAACCCACAAAGACAACCGCTGTGAAGCGCAAGGCGAAGGCTGAGCCTGAAGATGCCGAGCCGCCCATGGCTAAGAAGACGGTCGCAACAAAGACAGCGCGCACAGTCAAGGTCCAGACGAAAGCTGTGCCTGCACCTGCTCCAGCAACAAGAGCGACGCGTGGTCGCAAGGCTGAAGAACCTGCCGCTGCAGAGGAGCCCGAAACTACCGAAGAGGCGCCCAAGCCAGCAGCCACTCGTACACGCAAGATCGCGGCAGTAAAGCAGGCACCTGCACCCAAACTTCAGAATCCTGTTGTTGCCGAAGAGCCTGCTGTCGAAGAGGCACCTAAAGCAACATCCAGGGTACGCAAAGCACCTGTACCCGTAAAGAAGGCGCCCACCACCAAGAAGAGCGAGCCTGCTGCCACCGAGAAAACCGCCGTCAGTGAGCCGGCTAAGTCAGCAACTCGAACCCGCAAGCCACCAGTACCCAAAGCCTCGGCATCCGCTCCAGCCCCCGTCATCGCACCCAGAGCCACACGTGGTCGCAATGCCCCGGCAGTTTCACAAGACTCGCCTCTCAAGGCACCGGCCCGCAAGCCTACAAAGAAGGCCGCGGCTGTTCCCAAGACGAAAGCTGAGCCCGAGGCTGTCGTCGAAACAGCTGAAGAGCCAGTCGCGGAGGTAGTCGAAGAGCCAGTTATCGAGGCTGTCGAAGAGCCAATTGTTGAGGCTGTCGAGGAGCCACTCGTCGAGGCTGTTGAAGAGGCAGTCATTGAAGAAGTAGAAGAGCCAGTTGCTAAGGAAATTGAACAACCGGTCATCGCAGTAGCTGACGAGCCAGCCATAGAAGTGATTGAACAGTCGGTCGTCGAGGTTGTCGAGCAGCCATTGGCAGAGTTTCCTGGTTACCCTACAACACCCACACACATCTCTGCCCCAATGACTTCTAGGGAAGCCGTCGCTGAACTACCGGGCTACCCGACTACACCATCCCATATCATTGCGCCTCTGTCGAACGAGCAGGGTCTTGCAGAACTTGCAGGATACCCCACGACGCCTGCGCACATCACTGCACCCGTTGTAGCAGCCGCCCAGGAGGATGATGTCGATGTCGTTGAGCATGAGTACAACGACGTCGCCATGGAGGATGTTGAGGATAACGAGCCGGTAGAGCAGAGTGAGGCCTGCCAGGTCTCAACGGTTTCTGAGGTCGAGGAGCATGTCACGACAGTGGTATCAGGAGATCCTCAGCACGTTGAGTACCCTCACATCGAAGAGGAGGAAATCCGCGAGGACCTCGACGCTACAGTTGACGCCTCCATACCCGCTGCAAAGTCTCCTGTGACTGTCCAGCCTGATACCTCTAGCTCGGCCGCTATAACAGTAGATGACTCGACTGCCGAGGTCGTCTGCGGTATGACTGACCAGGAAGCATTTGAGGAGCTTCCAGCCGCATACCCTACCACACCAACTCACATCTCCGCTCCTGTGACTTCTAAAGCGGCATTGGCCGAGCTCCCGGATTACCCCAAGACCCCAGCTCATATCTCTGCCCCTGTAACTTCTAAAGCGGCGTTGGCTGAGCTTCCGGGTTATCCAAAGACCCCAGCTCACATCTCTGCTCCTGTTTCCTCCAAAGCAGCATTGGCCGAGCTCCCCGATTATCCCAAGACTCCTGCTCACATCAAGGCACCGATGACTCCTCGCCGCGCTCTTGCTGAGTTGCCCGACTATCCCACCACACCAAGCTTGGCACTCGAGGCTGCTCTCCAGGAAGAGATCACCAGGTCAGTCAAGAAGCAGACACCATCGCCTGTGAGATATCCAACTCTCAAGAATGACTCATTCGAGCTTGAGGAGCCTAGCGAGATTGCCGACATCAGCGAGGTCACTGAGGCTAGTGAAGTCGGTGAGATTGCGGTTGCCCACACTGCAATTGAATCTTCCCCGTTTGTAACCAGGCCAATCATGCAACTGGCGCCACTCAAACTCGCTCCTACTTTCGCAGCACCCGAGCCAGCATCACCCAAGAAGTCCGCCCTGCGATCACCTCAGAAGGTCAAGGACGCCAAGACCCCGAAGAAGACTGTTGCTTGGACCGACGTCCAAGCGGATGAGAGCGATCTGTTCCTGTATGACGGCATTCTTCAGGGCATGGTTTTCTACGTCGACGTCACAAGCAACGGCAGGGAGCAAAACTTCCTCTTCCGTGGTCTGCTCGAAGATCTTGGCGCGAAGGTAGTCCAAGATATATCGCACGCGTCGGTGAGCCACGTTCTCTTCAAGGACGGAAGCATATCCACACTGGAGAAGTGCCTTGAGAGCAAGGGGGCGATTAAGTGTGTCAATGTTGGGTGGGTGTTGGACAGCGAATCAAACAAGAAGCGTATGGACGAAGAGCATTATCTGGTTGATCTATCGGTTGCGAAGCCAGCAACTCCTCTCCCCACAACCGCCGCGAAGCCCTTCACGCCGTTCAAGACTCCTTCCAAGTACGCGCTTCCACCTTCGTCTCAATGCAAGATGCCCAGCACACCAACAAGCTCCGAGTTCGATCGCTCCTTCAACGACGATAAAGAAAATTGCGAGGTTGGCATGTTCTTCGACAATGACAAGAGCCCTCTCGCACCTCGGACTGCTCCTATCAAGAAATCGTCTTTCCTGTTTAGCAGGTCAGCCATCAAGACTCCGTCCAAGTCCATCTTCCTTGGAGCTACGCCCTCAAAACCGATCTTTTCGGCTGTCAAGCCTGCTCCTCAGGCTGCCACTACTGTTAAGAAGCGCCCCGCAGAGTCGTCTTTCTTCGGCTCCCTTGGCCCGCCCAAGAAGTTGCGTCTCTTCTAGTGGACCCGCTGATCCTTGTCAGTCTTACATGGGCTTTTTTGTTTACGGAGTTTGGGATATCATAGGTGCATTGGGTGGCGCAGATTGGATAAGGTGTTTTGTGTATTCTTTGCAAGGTCTTAGTCGTGCTGTTGCCATCCCTGTTCGCCCTCCACCGCGGCTTGAAGGTTTCTACTGAGTGCTGCCTCCCCGCAAGGGTTGGCCTTCGTGGAGACCCAACATAGCCAGGTGAGGGGGCGGGCTAGTGGCATCTCTGCATACTTCGGATCTTGCTGGCTTCTCGTCTTTTTCTCGGTGGTGCACACGGTTAGAATTGGTCTCGCATATCACGGATGGACGATACTGTACGATACAGTTGGGCATTTTTGGCGTTACTGGATTCATCAATACTCTCCAATGGAGATGATCATGGATTGGGGTTGAAATCACTTGCTTTCGTATCACGGCATTGTCTCGTTTAGGTACGAATGACAATATACGAATACTTCATACTGCTTCTTTTTAAAGATCTTTCGTGATATGTGGTCTACTGATAGTACGATTGGTAGATAGTCAAGAACGTGATGTTTGACAACCGCTACGTAAAACATGGTTATTGTCTCCGAGATCTGTCAAGGGCAGCAATTTGTTCGACGGGCATACCAAAAACTTTCCCTTGCTAACCAGATACTGTTGAGGGTATAGAAATAAGCACTCGAAACTACATACGGAACGCACGAACGAAAGACGAAAGACAATCTATCGCGACGCCTGACCCATACCCTACAACCAACGAGCATCGACGTCTAAGGAAACACAGTATCATGCTATCTAGTCCAAGTCCCACGATGCCTATCGATTCTTAGTCAGACCTTTCCTAATCATCACCCATCACAATCCTCTTCCTCCTCCAGCCACTTAACGGCCTGATACTCTCCCTTTCAACCTCCCTCCCAGCAGTTCTGTGGTAAGTCCTCCACCTTTCCTCTTCGGTCTCCCTCTCCTTCTCCTCAAACGAATCGCCCCAAAAACTATCTCGGCGCGTTCGGCTCCGCTCCCGTGAAGTAGAGCGCTCACGAGACTCCCATCGCTCGTCTACCCACCACTTATCGGTGCGGTGAAAAGGGTCGTACGTGGGTGAAAGCAGAGAGGAAGAGTGGTGATGGTGGTGAGAAGAGTGCGGCCGGCCAAATTTGGCGTTGATACTCAAGTGGAAGTCGCGATCTTCAGGCTCTGAAGAAGCGGGGCGGTCAGAGTATCTGTAAGTACGCCTTGATTCGTAGCTGCGAAGTCTATCGTCGTCACCAGCATCTTTATGGTTGTGCCGATTGTCCCTGACGATATTGTAGCGCTCGAGTTGCGAAGGTTGGTCGCGGACTGTCAAGGCGCGAGATAGCTTGGCTGGCTTCTGGTTGGTAGAGTACGGGTAGTCATCAGCGTCGTCGAGATCAGAGAGTGTGATGCTGTGACGGCGTTTGTTGGAGTCGCGACGTGCGAGGGGACGGGTGTAGTAGTTGTCGTGGTCCGGGGTACGCTCGCGGGTGCGAGTACGGGTTAGGTGCAGGTAAGACATTGTTGGTTGCCTTATGAGGCTGATGGTCTTAGATGATAGTTGAAGAACTGTCGAAGGTGGTCGTCTTGCAGTATTGTTGGATCGAAAGTACTTATATTCTGTAGATTGCGAACTGGGCAAACAAAACCACGGTCCTCAAGAACCCTCTAAATACCATACGACCTGATGTCTCAACTGCCTAGAAAATTCCGAACGACATCATGTCTGGTAAGCACGGCCTCAATGCACCCCATGAACACCCAACGTGCTGCGCCTCCTCCTGCGGCTCAAGAAGTGGCTGGTGCAGATCGTTCCGTGATATGATTGGCTGCGCCCACTGTCGGCGTGTTCCGCATGAACGATACTTTACCGATAAGTTCTTGACCGCCAGAATATTGAGGCTTAAAACTCCTCTTTAGTAGATACATGGTTCTGACAGCCCCCGCGGTGTGTATCATGGAGGGGTCATGACAGCTGAAGTTGCGGTCGCCACTGCGCGGCTGTGACAATGTGGAGGTGTGGGGGCCGGGAACACGACGGTGAACCATGAACTGTGTGTAATCAACATGCGATAATATAACGGGTACCTGCCGTCGTTGAGATGGATGCCTAGGGAAATACGCCATTTCCTTCCGATGTATTCGCTGATCTTCTGTCGCCAGTGCTCATGGGTGCTTCGCCGGTTGGAGCTTACGACGCTGCGAGGGTCATGCGCTCTGGATGAATCATAGCTAGAATCAGAGGCGTCTTTCCAAGGTTTTTCATTGTGGAGGCTGGTCAAGAAGTGTGACTGTTGCTGTTGATAGAGGCGCACTGACAGGCATGACCAGATTCTTGACATACCGCGGTGAGCATTCTCAAGCCACAATGTCTACAACCCACAAGACTCTGTTTGGATTATCCATCGAATTGCGTACTCGCGCTTTACGGTCATCCGACTATCACAGTGTCAAGCCCAGGAGGCCTGCAGTTAGGATCAACTAGGCCATTGACTCGTGCCTGACCAAGGGCATGGTAAGTTTTTCGCGTCTGAGTTCCATAATCGAAATTACTGCCTAGAAAATGTCATTGAGACCTTGATGCACTAGTCACATTACCTGTCGAGTTTCGTTCCGGCTCTCACATACTGCTTTCGTCACTGATCTTTACTCGCCCTCTTACTCCTTGTTCAAATAGCTCGTATGTTCTCTCGCAGAGTCTGCTACAAACCTGACGTTCCACGGGTGCTTCGAGAGATCAGCCTCACTGTGCGAGTTGAACTGCCAGACATGCTCCGCTTGCGTAAGGCAACAGCCCCGTGACGCTGTTTGTTGTCTAGCTTGTGTCGCATATCCAAGTCCTGCAAACTTGCTAATGTGACGAAACGTGGTGTATCTAGGACGTACAAATGTGACCGTTTTATGCAAGACGATGCTTGCAATGGTTTGAATACTCAGCCTGGGACCGGGGAACTGCGAGTACATGGAAACTCAGCCCGGTCAATGAGGTGGGAAAGCTGGAAAAGATACAGCTTTTACGAAGCAATTGGATGAAGCGCTCGTAAGGAATTAAAAATGACCTGCCAGTAATTCGCCTTCAAATATGTTATTTGTAGGCGTTTGCATCCAGAACGTATTAAGTAACATCTGCTGCATGACCAAAGGCATGCCGGATACCCATTCGATCCATATTCGCGCTGACTGTGCCTCTGTAGTCGCCACAGAGTCTAGTGTGACAGATGGATGACATGAAAGCCTCCCCACCTTGTTGGTTCAATACCAAGAACTACAAGAGGGTGGTTGGCGAAGGTTTCCGCGTTTGGATGTGCTGATTTTCACGATTAGATGTGATTTTCGTGTATGGAATGGGTTTTATTTTTCCATGCTTGTTGGTGTCGAAGGAAACCTGGATTGCTGGTATCAAAGTTCTGCATGTCAGTGCGTAGGGCTACGATGCAGCAAAGCGGCACATCCTCGTCTGGAAAAGCCACAGCCAAGGCGCAAGCAGGCTCTATACCACGGCGAAACTTACACGGCTGGCAGACACGGCCTTTTGACTGGCCCTAGACGAAAATGTATACGCGCATATCGTCTGCAGTTTCGTGGGCGGGGTGCGCTGTGTTAGCTTTGTTCTAAATGTATTCTCCAACACGTGCATGCATGAAGAACGGTTGATGACACCCTGTACATCTCGTAGCGCTAGCCGAGAAGGTAAGATACTGTCGAGGCCATTTCTCCTTATTGGCAGTAGAGTCGCACATGGAACATAATGCATCGAACCTTGGGGGCGGAAGGATTCAGGTGTCGGTTAATCATAACGCGATCCCAGCTCCGCGATAGAAGACGCATCTCATTTGAAGTGGCAGGCACATGGAGCAGGTGTTGTTCCTAGTGCTAGCATGAGTGTGGGAAGATTGTAGAAAGTATGGGTATGCGCAGTGAAAACCATGCTGTCTTGAAATGTGAAGTTGTAGTTGATGCATGAGAGTTCGGAGATTGTGACAACGCCCGGCAGCGCTTGGCATGTGATTGCGCACCTAGGCGTGCCATGGCCTCTATCCGCTAACCACGATGAGGCTTCCCTGGCTGCACAGCTTGCGAACTTACTCACTTGGAGACATGGCGGCACGGAAGGGGCCTCAGCGTTTGAGCGCGCTGCGTGTTCTCCATATTCTCTCCTGCATGCCAGATTGACAGCTGTAGCACGTCGACATGTTCCTTCCACCAGAGCTCCTGACGCTCTTCTTCCTAGCGAATGCCGCAGCGGCTATCCCTCGTATGCAACCGATGCCGAGCCAACTGGAGAGCATACAGGCTAATATGAAGCAGAGGTCTCCTTACTACCGAATGTCACCGAGACTGCCCCTATCGAATGGGCGACCGTATCTATCCCGACAGAGACAACAGGAACGTTTGACGCTGCTGCTACGGAGAGTGTGTCCATAGACAGGGGAGACGGACTTGCAGAGGGGGATCCATGTAATTCTGCGGGGACCGAACAATGTTGTGTTATAGATGACACCACTTGTGGCGAGACTAGCCGTCAACTCAGGCCTGGGGTTCCGACTGCGACAGGTTGGGGGGAAACTGGTCCAGCTACCGATCGTCTTGTGACGTTAATTGCGACTGAGACGACCGTCACCGCAATTCGACCGACAATTATCAACATTGAGACGAACTTAGTGGAGGACGGATTCACACTGGGCGATGCTACTCAAGCGAGCGGGGACAACAATGGACAACAGTCTTCGGTCACGGTAGCAAACACAGTCCGTCCTTTGAACAAGCCTGGGCCATCTGGGGATAACACAGCGGGAGGAGACGCCCCCAGTGTTTCAGGAACGACATCGCAACAGACAGGGCAGAACAGTCTCCTACTGAGCATTGTCTCCCAGCTTGGTGGCACGCCATCGAACGTCCAGCCCGCATCTCCAACCACCAATAGCCTCGGCCAAACGATCACGCCTCCAAGTAGTGACAATGGAGGAGGCAGTGCTGCAGCGCAACCAGCGACTACTCCTAATTCTGGCATGCCGAGGGATACGGATGAAGCGTCGTTTCCGCAGGTAACACCGACAGCAGGTACTGGCTACCTCGTGATAGGAGGAGCATGGACAGTAACGCTTACGCCTGGTCTTTCTATCTACCTTGGGGGCAACCTCGCTCCTACGATACTAGAAATGACAACAGACGCCACAGGCAACACTTTGGTGACGGTTAGTTCGAGCGGTACTGCTGTCACTGCCACCGTGCGTGTTGCACTTACTACCATGACCATGCTTAAATCTGGCTTCGAAGCAAGTATCACCGACTCTGCACGCCCGGGTGAGCAAAGTGCCAGGCTGGCGACCACCTCTAGCAAGGGAGCTGGTGCCGATAAAACAAGCAAGCTCGAGTGGTGGACGGGTGCTGTCTTGGGCATACTAGGCTTCGGTGTACTTTTGTAGCAACAGGTAGCAGCAGCTTCTGAAATCATGCTCCTTTGACACTGTAATGTCAAGTATATCAAGGTTCATAGTAATACTCGTAGTCACATGCTACGTCTCGTGGGTATCCCAGCTTCCGCCGTGCCCCGCTATATATTTCACCGAACCCACGTCCCACCTCTTCCTCCTCTTCTCCGCGTCTTCCGCGTATCGCTACTCCCTTTCCTCAAAGCTCGAACAACCGAAATTCACTACTAAGCTTCGCTCTTCCAGAACCCTACTCGCGAAAACCGAACATGGACTGCAGCACTAGCAGCATGTCTTCTGACGCCGACAAGTCCAACATTACCACCACCTACAAAGCTGCCAAAGACTTGGGGTTCCATAGCTTCAAGGCTTTCCTAGAGTCGTATGGGCTGAGGATCTGGGAATTAGACGACGTGGAAGAGGGCAAGGCGATCATGAGAGCCATGGGCTACAACGTATCTTGAACCGTTGCAACTGGAAGCCTCAGCGGGATTTCACCTTATGGGAAGCAGAAGTTTGAATCAAAGAGACCATGGAAGGGCTGATGAGAAAAGGATGCAAAATGATTGGCGCTGAGGGAGCTCGAATCGATACAATCAAATGTGAAAGCCGTTTGTTCATCCCAAAACCCGAATGATATACCAACTGCGTTTGCTAAGCGTGAGACTCATTATACGAGTATTGAAAGTAGACATTAATATCGCTACATACGATTATTGTATCTTCGTTGTGTTCATCGCCTGGACCCATGGCTTCCAGAACTCCTCGATACCACGCTCGTAGTTCCATCCTGTCCAGTTGTAGTTTGTCATACCCCAGGTATCAGGAAATCCTTGCACTCCTGATCTGATTCTGTATGAACCAGCAATAGACCACATCATCCAGCTAACATCGTTGTCGATGGTGTATTCCTTCAGACAGTTCTGCAGAGTGTTGTTGAAGAGGGTTTCGTCCTGAGCACTGCCGAACTCGCTCAGGATGACGGGTGTCTCGCGGACAGCCTTCGGGCAGTCACCTGTGATATTGCAGGCGGCTGGTGCGTCGATACCCAGGGCATTAAAACCGTTGCGATAAAAGTTTGCCTTGACGATGTCGCAGGTGCCAGTGTCGATATCCTCGCTCATGCTGTAAAGATGAAGTTCCCAAACGAGCTTGTCGGCCCATGGATGGTCATCGAGGTTGAAGTATACTGGCTCCCTCCTTGCCGCATCTCTGATCGCTGTGCACTTGTAGCAAGGGGCGGTGAGAATGTTCTTGCCGCTAGTCAAGGCTGATAGATCTTGTCCGTATTGCATGCCACCCCACAGGATAAGAATATCGGGGTTGGCCTCGTGGATTGCGTCAGCTCCAGCGGTCATGTTGCCTACAAGCGTATCCCAGTTGTAGTATAGGTCCGTGACGTTCCAAGATTCGCGCAACTCGTTGCGGAGAGACATGCTGACTACATTTGGGTGGTCCTTCGCCCAATTGGCAACGTAAGAAAGACCGCGGCGCCAATGTGTTGCGTTGAACTGGAGGTCGTCGAACCAAGCAGTACCGTCGATGTGCGAGCAGCACCACTGCGCCTTTCCTGTGTGCACATCTGGGCTAATGAAGATGCCCTTCGTAGCAGCAATACGCGCAATATCGCTCCAAATCTCGAAACGTGTAGTCTGAGCGGTCCAGCCAGGGTTCTTCGCGATGATCTCGTTCGTGACTTTGGTACCGTTGACGTACCCAAGGGCATTAATGAGGCCAACTTCGAGCGGGACATCAACACCGTCCCTGTCGTAAACCTGGTCGATCATCTCGATAGCATATCCCATGCGGATATAGTTGAAGCCGACACCCGCGATATCATCTAGAATCTCTTCCGCTGACGCCCATTCAAGCCCTTCAGGAATCATAGTCTCGCCTATAGAGGACGTCAATCAATGTTCACCTACTGTTCAGTTGATGCTTGTAACGTACCGCTCATAGGCCAGTTGACGCCCGCCCAAGTTGTCTTCTCACCATTGCTATCAACAATGTCTCGGCCTCGGGTACTGTACGGGCCATTGAAAGATAGAGACGTGCTGTTAGTGGCCTGTCGACGCGCATTGTATTGGAAAGCAGTGTTGCTGGAGATGCCTGGCAAATATCCAGCCGAAACGACAGCAGCAGCAAGTGCTGTGCTAAGCAAAACACGTGGTCCCAGCATGATGAGAGGATGAAGTGACACTTCGCGGGATGCAGGATAGACATTAGGTACATTCGGACCTTTATAGTCCTCGGTGCGGTATACTCATCACGAACAGCTAACTGGGAAGAGCCTCAACGTCCGTCGGCAGGCTTGCTCAATGCAAATCAAAATCCGATGATCATCGTCACTTCGCGCCGGGTTGTCGGATAAAAGCTGTCCGAGTTGAGGTACCTCCGCATTGCGGGGAAGAATACGAGAAATTAGTACTTGGCGAACGAAGCTATTTCCATGGGGATTCCGCCGGCACAACTTGCAGCGGAAGCATTACGCTTTTCGTATGATGATGTTTAGCCCAGTGCTTGGTTTAGAGTGCGCGGGCTTGTAAGCACAATTCATCCGTGCTGTTTGCTAGGTACCGTTGTTGTGACGGTTGCCGCTCGGCTATGAGCAGTACTTTGGCTTATCTTATCGACACGTGCACCGTGTTCCTAGCGCGTTCCTCGATTCCTTCACGCCACACGCCGTCGACCAGCCCTTAATGAGACGCTGTATCTCACACGACCCGCCATGGACGCATTGTTGGAGGGACTAAACGATGCGCAGAGAAGCGCGGTAACAAGTCCCGCCAATGTTGTCCAGGTCCTCGCGCCGCCCGGCTCAGGCAAAACTAAAACACTCACAGCACGCGTCGCGTACCACATCAATCACGAGCGACTACAGCCATGGAACATCATTGTATGTACTTTTACCATCAAAGCTGCAAGAGAGATGAAGGAACGGATCAAGGGATTTGTTGGAGAGAAGCTTGAGGCAAAACTTATCCTGGGTACCTTTCATTCAGTCGCGCGTCGCTTCTTATCTCGGTACGGTCAAGAGATTGGGATTGATAAGAACTTTGGCATTGCGGATACTAGCGACAGCACGGCAATACTGAAGCGAATTGTTACGCGTCATCAGTACACAGTGGAACCTGGCCATGCTCGTTCCAGGATCTCCAAACTCAAAGCCAAGGGAACCACCGCCGACGATTTTCGAAGGACAACAAAGAATGTCAACGACAATGAGTTCGCGATGATATATTCCTCTTACCAAGAACATTTGGCCGCCTCCAATCTTCTCGATTACGACGACCTTCTTCTCCGATGTGTGGATCTATTAAAAAAGTCGCCGTCATGTGTCTCCACGATACAAGCTGTACTAATTGACGAGTACCAAGACACCAACAATATCCAGTACGAATTAATGAGGTTATTAGCTCAAAGAACAAGACGTATCACCATTGTCGGTGATCCAGACCAAAGTATATACAGCTTCCGGTCAGCAGAGATCAAGAATCTCCTGCGGATGCGCACCGATTACCCCGAGTCAGTCGTGATCAACCTGGAGAACAACTATCGGTCTTCGGGATGCATCTTGACCTCCGCCATGGCTGTCATTGAGCAGGATGAGAGTCGACCACAAAAGTCGCTCATTGCTACACATGGCGTTGGTGAGCCTCCCACTCTTCGCCATTTGGTATCGGCCAACGTGGAGGCGAAATGGATTGTAGAAGAGATACATCGGACCAAAACGCTTGCAGCGGGGCTGCTGAGCTATAACGATTACGCTATACTTGTACGCTCATCTCCTCTCACGCTCCAGATTGAGCGAGCGCTCGGACAAGCTGGAATTCCCTATCGGATGGTCGCTGGTACGAAGTTCTTTGATCGGGCGGAGATCAGGATCATCTTAGACTACCTACGCGTGGTCAGTCAGCCAGATCATAATGATGCAGTGGCAAGGGTTATCAATACACCGTCCCGGAAAGTTGGCGACGTTACTGTGAAGGCACTACTCGAAGAAGCAGAAGTCAGAAAAGTCACTCTGTGGAAACTGGTGCTGGATATCGCCCAGGGCAGGAGGAAGCCGGAAAGCAAAGTCTCCGCCCAAGCACAGAAGGGCATCGAGCAGTTCGTCAATGTCATTCTTACCTCGCGCGAGAAGCTTCTTCCTGCTAAAGGCGAAGACTGTAACTTGCTAGGTCTCATATCGCACATTCTGGCTAAAATACAGTTCCAGTCCTATCTTAAGCAGACACATAAGGAGAACTGGGAAGATCGATGGGCAAACGTGGAGGAGCTGGTGAACCAGGCAACACAGATGGCTACGGCAGTTGCTAATGGGGAAGAGATTTCTGACGACGCCTTGCCAGTGGTAGAGGGCATCGAACAGCGAAACGACACCGGAGCCGATATTCTGTCCAAATTCTTGGCCAATGTTACGCTCTCGAGCGCAGCAGACCAGGAGGGAAGCGAACTGGACCAGGTCACCATCTCTACCATCCACGCAGCGAAAGGTCTGGAATGGCCTGTCGTCTTTATGCCTGCTGTGTATGACGGATCTATACCGCACTCCCGAGCAGATGACCAGGATGAGGAGAGGCGTTTGTTGTACGTTGGTATGACTCGAGCACAAGGCCTATTGTACCTGAGTTGCCCAGTTAAGCAGTCAGGTCAAGAGCAGACGACCCTTTCCAGGTTCATTTCCGATCGGAAAATACAGAAGCTTTTCAACGACCGAGGACCAGACTTAGCTTTCAAGCGTAGTACCATACCAGACTTGGCCCGTATTCTGCGGAGAGACTGTCCATCGTCTGAAGACATCAAAGGTGCTCTCGGCTTGCTGGAACATCCGGAAGACGATCGATACCCAGCGACTCGAGAGGAGATTGACGGGAATGATCCAACATGGGGCGCATACGGATCCGACAAGTACAGAAGCGCGAAGCCCATCGGCGATGGGCCAAATCAATCTTTCAAGCGGCGCAGGCTGGAATCATCGAGCTCTTTCTCTACGGACTCAGTAGCGGTCACCATGAATAGAGCGTCTGGATTTTCGATAGCGACGACGACCATGCCGACCGTCAAAGCTGGTTTCACCAGTGCTCGGGATCTTGGAGATCTCCAGGCAATGCAGAGAGAAGCAGAGCGCATTCGAACGCTAGCCAGCACTCCCAACGCAGAGATTGCCAAGGCAGCCTACAACGACTCCAAGAAAGCAGAAGCAAAGCCTGCCCGAGCGAAATCCGTCAAGCCACTCGCAAAAGGCCAAGGTGCCATTACAAGCTTCTTTAAGCGATCAAATAGCGCGATATCCGAGGAAACAGAAACTGCGCCATCCTTCACTGCGCCGTCTCTGCAACGCTCGCAATCTTCATTTTCCACTCACACTCCACTTCATGACATATCCAACGTGCAATCCTCCGTTTCACGACCACCACGCCCATTTCAACCACTCTCAATGACCAATCACAAAGTTACGAACCGACCAATTCTCACCAAGCCAAAACGTGTCGAGCCCGAAGCCGGGATGGAAAGCACGCAGTATGTCCTTCTATCTAGTTCGCCCCCTAGACCCGATGTAGAGGAAACGCATCAAGCAGGGAAGGATGGCAGAGAACCAACAAGTCCAACCAAGCAAACGTCATCGTCATTTGCTTCGGCATCTGGCTTTCGGCCAGCGTCTACATTTCACACAACGTCGATGAACCAAGTGCAGAATCAGTCAGCACAGAGGAAGACGCTGGGTGCGAGGAGAAGCATGCAGCCGTGGAGTGTGAAACATATTGCCATGCCAAAGCCACGGCCACCTTGATCTGTATTTGAAATGCGTCTTGTTGAGATATCTTGGTTGCATGGATCGGCGTTTCAATCCTCAGTTGCGATGCATTGCTGGAATATAGGCATGATCATAGTCGTTGGTTTCTTTTTTTCATTATTATCCGTTACTATCGAGGACTCGACAAGCTCTATAGATGAGAGCTCGCTTTAGAGGAGTGCGAAAGCACTGCAATACGACACACTACTATCCTTTACTTCTTCCACCAAACTGCTCCTCTCATACCGCAGGAACTTGAACATGCCCCTTCCTTGACCTAAACCATCTGCCTTCTCTACCGCGGCCATGAAGAGACCAATCGGGTGTCTTCCACACACGGTGTTGCCAGTCTTCCTGAGCTGATCCAAGAACTGCTTATGTGACCCACTCTCAACCGCGTCGATACTTTCGTGGTCGACAGCAGCAATACTCTCGTGTATGGGATAGTCGCTCGGTACGCGAGAGCTTGACCTAAGCTGAGTTGCTGCTGAGCCGTCGGCGGGCTGGTAGTACGTGTATCGAAAGCGGGAGCCCCAATGACAGAAATCAGATGAGATTACAAACACATTGGAAGGGTCGGAGAGGTATGGCGCGAGGAGGGAGCCGTAGTGAGCTTCGATGGCTGCATCGGTGTTGCCGACCATGATAGGTACTAGAGGCACAGATGTCGAATCATTCTGGAAGTTTGTGTTCTTCAGTGACAGCATCTTGTAGATGTACGGAAGGTGCATCTCCAGACTATGCTCGTCCTCGTCCACTCCTTTTGACATTGTCTCCAGGTCCCATTGGTTTTGTATCTCATCCACTAGCTTTGTGTCTATAGTCAGGTCGCCGAGAGGTGTACGGTACTTCTCGCAACCTGTCGTCGCAGCGCCAGTGAGGTAGTAGTGGTGAGAGGGGCCGAGTAGGAAGACGCGTTTGCTACGAGCAGTCAGTGCGGAACCCTGACTGTCTTTTTGACCGATATGTACTCACGCATTCGCCCAGTCAGCGCTCTTGTAGGCCCATGCTGCAGCAGGACCTGAGTACGAGTATCCGGCATGCCTGCACGTCCATGAGCCTCGTCTTCTCTACAGAGTCTTCAGGGCACATACGGGGCGATGATAGCTCGCGCGTGTGGTGTAGGTATCGAGACTTGGCCTTGTTGTGAGGAAGCGGAGCCTATGGGCGTCGTGGATTCGGGAACCTCTCCGAGCCAGCCGTCGAGTTGCTGGGACAGGAGTTGTTTGTTGTCCGTATACCAGGAACCAGCGTGGGTGGCTTTACGAGTGACCATGTTGGGTTTCAGTGATGGGAATATTGAAAGCTGTTATCGTGACGTTGTATGGGCTAGTTGGTGTTGGCATGTGAGGGGTGGTGGGGTAAAGGCGAGCTTCACCCTT